CTGATGATGATAGTCAATGAGTAACAACGTTAATCGATGTTGGCATGGCAAGAGAAGTGGATGTTTGTGAGAGTACGGGAGATCAGCATTTGTGAGACGCCCACCCACTCTAAGAAGTCCATTTTCATCAATRAAAGGATCTAATTTCCGAATGGCAGGAGAGCAACGCAATCCGTTTTTTAACGAGGATATGTCTTCGGAATATGATGTTTGTTGGACGGAATACACTAAGCTCAACAAGGCTCGTTCTCGTTCACTCGCAGTAACAATCTGTGTAAATGCAAAAGGACGTRCTTTCGAGAATCGTAGACAGTAGGCGATAATGTGAAGAATTTTATCGAACGACGAGAAACGATGCAGAACATCAGTAATTGAGCATGTAGTCTTAATTTGGAGAACAGTACATTTTCGAGCTTCAGTGGAAACATGAGCACCTGTGTTGTCTGAACGAGTAACAACAGATGGCCAATTTTCCGGTGATTCTACCAGAAACGCAGGGCCAGTCCACCACAACGGGTGATCAACAAGTTCCGACGGGAATAGGCCACGGGAAGCACAATCGACCGGGTTTTGCTGAGTGGGGACGTGATGCAAATGTCTGGTGAGGTGAGTTCATGAATTTGACTTGTTCGATTTGCCACGAACGTGGCCCAACGATGTGGTGAGGATTGTATCCAGGCTAACGCAGTTGTTGAGTCCGTCCAAGCATGCAACTCATCAATTTGAAGACTCTTTGAGTAAGTGTCAGCAACGAAACGTAATAGTTTGGCGGCTAATACAGCTCCACACAGCTCAAGACGTGGGATAGTAGACTTTTTTAGAGGTGCGACTTTGRATTTACCTGTTACAAGGTGACAATAAGCTGAAGTAGCTGTTTCTGTTCGAAGGTAAACTGCCGCCGCGTACCCTTTCTCTGAGCTATCCGAGAAAGCGTGAAGTTGCATTGTGGTTGCCTCGTCAACCGTTATACGACGAGGGATAGAGATCGATTCAATCAATTTCAGTTCGGATTGATATCGGGTCCACAATTGAGCAAGATCTGTGGGTATTTTGTCATCCCATTTGAGACCAGCGGTCCAGAGCAATTGCATGACGTGTTTTGTCCAGAACGTGATGGGAGACAGCAAGCCTAACGGATCGAAAACTCTGGCAATGTCAGAGAGAACTGACCGCTTTGTCGGATCCGTTTCCGATGGTTTTGTAYCAAATGAAAACACGTCAGCTCTCGGATCCCATTTCAAACCAAGTATTTTTAATTCACATTCATTTTTGTCATTGTACAGAAGTGCTGGAGACATTGCTTGAGCTTCTSCGGGAACAGCGTGTAAGATATKACTATTATTGCTGGCCCATTTTCGGAGCTCAAACTTGGCTAATGAGCACAATTGTATAAGTTGCGACTGATATTCAAGGGCATCCTTTTCGGTGTTAGCTCCAGTGAGAATATCATCCACGAAGGTGTCGTTCAGGAGAATTGACGCAGCGATCGGAAATAATTTTCCATCAACGATTGCCAATTCCTGAATTGTACGAAGAGCTTGATATGGTGCCGCTGATGTGCCGTAAGTGACCGTACAGAGACGGTATTCCTGCACTGTGGTATTTTTCGAAAATCTCCAGAAAATTCGCAGGTAATCTCGATCMGCAGGCCGCACCACAATTTGCCGATACATCTGTTTGATGTCTGTCATAAATACATATTTCCACAACCGTGCACGAAGAAGAACAATTTGAATGTCGGGCTGAAGTTTCGGACCCGTATACATGCTCTCATTCAAGGAACACCCAGCACTGGTACGAGACGAAGCATTGAACACAACACGAAGCTTGGTGGTGCTACTGNAGGCCGCACCACAATTTGCCGATACATCTGTTTGATGTCTGTCATAAATACATATTTCCACAACCGTGCACGAAGAAGAACAATTTGAATGTCGGGCTGAARTTTCGGACCCGTATACATGCTCTCATTCAAGGAACACCCAGCACTGGTACGAGACGAAGCATTGAACACAACACGAAGCTTGGTGGTGCTACTGYCCGGCCTAAGTACACAATGATGTGGAATATAATAATGAAACACATTGTCTGTGTGTTCGATTGGAACTAGCTCCATGTGACCAGCGTCCAGGTAATCTTGCATGAAGTCTGCGTACTGGCGTTGAAGGKTTGGATCATTACTCAGTCGGTTTTCGAGTGCCTGGAAGCGGCTAAGGGCAACAGATTTTGAAGCACCCAACAGAGGTGATGCTTTCCGAAATGGAAGAGATACCATAAATCGTCCTGTACTCAGCCGAGTTGTTGTCTTTTTATAAATTTCCTCGGCAGCACGCTCATCTGGACTGAGGTGGCGAACAACAGGTAACTCTTCAAGTTCCCAGAACCGCCTGATCGACAAATCAARAGTTTCAGAAACAGATAAACACATAGCCGTGACAGTTGACTGAGCATTTTTGTCGACAGGTCCCATCAAAATCCAACCGAAAACAGTCTCGAAGGCAATGGGCTCGCCAGGTTTGCCTGTGGCTTTTCCATTGAGAAGTAGCATTGGCAAGATATCGGCCCCCAACAACAGATCGACTGCCTGAGGACGATGGTATAACGGATCAGCGAGGGAGAGGTTTTGAATATGCCTCCATTGTCCCGGCACGATAGGAGCTTGAGGAGTTGGCCCTGTGATTTGTGGGACGATGTAAGTGTTCACACAAAACGACGGTGCCTGTTGGTCACGTGGCATCACAGTGATGGTTGTTTGACCACGGACTGGTGAAGTTGTACTACTGGCAAACGTGCTAATTGCTACTGTCGAATGATGTCGCTTTAGCATCAACACACACGCAGTGTGTTCAGTTATAAAACTCGCTTGAGYACCACTGTCGAACAGGGCTCGAATTGAATGACGGGTGCCATCAGCAGCGACCACATCGAGTAGGACAGTGGAGAGTAAAACTACATTCTGAGGCTGTCCTCTGWCAATCATTGMTTTGGCACTCTGACCAGCCTCGGGTTGGTCTGCTGAGGGAACCGTAGACGAGGAGGGARGGTTCTCCTTTAAGTCAAAGTGAAGCAAACTATTATGAGACCGAWCACAARTTGGGCATTTATATTTTGAAGGGCATAATGAAGTAGCATGTCCTGTGAACAGACAATTTATGCACAAACGATGCTTCTTGGCTAACTGAAAACGATCAGTCGGTGATTTTGACAGAAACGTTGGAC